GATTTAAATCGCGTATATTTGTTTTTTCAAACAAACCGACGTTTCGGACCCTTTACAGGTCTCATGACCATGTCAACCGTGTTCATGGGACCTGTAAAGGGCCCGAAACGTCGGTTTGTTTGAAAAAACAAATATACGCGATTTAAATCCGGAAAAATAGTTTCATTTCCTATAAAGAAAAATTTCTTCAATTCTGCTAGATAACAAAAACAATATGTTAGTCCTAACAATGAATGGTGATAAATCTTTGACCACTTAGTAGTGACAGTCGATGTTTTATTATGCGGTATTACAGAACTATGAAGATTTTACACTTGAGGTGGTTTTTTTATACTTTATGAAAAGGAGTGAAATTAAAAATTATCAAGAACGACACGACCTCTTCTATGTTTTTTTATACAATTTGTTATTAGGACTTATAAATACCTGATATGCAATCCAAGTTGATAATTTTGTTCATCAACATAAGGTTGATGACAACCTCGTCAAACACAGGTACAGAGCCACCGACTAATCCAGTGTTGCCACCTTGAGGGCAAACAGCTAACTTTCTATCATTGCAGTACTTTAGTACCGCTGATATTTCTGCTGTAGACTTCGGCTTTAACACAACTTTGGATTGTCCTGTTCAATAAGATTATTTTCAACATTATTGTCGCCATATTTTGTGTAAATTCAGCTATTACTTTCAAAAAAGATGTTCACTATTAGCACAAAATAAATTAACAGTTATTTATTAATTATTTTTCATTAAGCACTATCATTTAAAAAAATTAATAACACATTTAAGTCCATACTTTCCAATCAAGTACCACTATATTTTTTAACCTTTCATATCTCAAAGGTGAACCAGGCACCCTTCAAAAATTCCAATTATTTTTCTATTTAAATAAACATAATGTAAAAATTTTATCACCTCTGCAATTCTTAATCCAGTCAATATTAAATGGCAACACATCACCATCTTCAGTCAGCACCCTATCCTCACTAAGCAAGGATTTAAAATGATTCACATCTGAGTTTTGTACTTTAGCAAAGTCTTTCCTCTTTACATTGTATTTCTCCTAAAATAATAATAATTTGAAACACAATACAACTTTCAATCAATCAGTTTACTAAATAGGTAAAATAATAAACAATAGGTATTATTTTATTGCCTACTCTAAAATTTTTGCTATCTATCAAAATTCGTAACGTTAAAAAAACCGTTACAAGTTATTTCGACTTTGTTTTGTTATGTACAGGTTACGCTAACTTTAATAACCCTTATCCCTACCCACTATCGTGATCTCTTTACCTTCCAATAGATAAACTTCATATGAAGAAAATTTGCACTTGTGGACAGAGAGTATGCTGAAAACAAATATTCCGGCCAAATATTACTAACATTGTTTTTGATTAGGTACTTAATGCTTAAAAATCATTAATAATGTGAAAGTAGACAAAATGTTTCCTCGAAATTTTGAAAGATGTAGGTCTATTTCAATTTATATAATGTTTGGAAATTGTCTTCAAGGATTAAAATCTTTCATCATTTGGTCCTTAATATGCCATAACTTTAATAAGTTTGTAAGTATTACATTCTAATAACCCTTTCCAAAATTATATTATTTTCCTTTGCTAAGTAATCAGTTACCGCATGTATGTAGAAGGTAAGAAATAAAGAAGTTGTTTGGTAATTTTTTGAAATTTACTAAGCAATATGCTTAAACAGATGCGTACTTCAGCTCTGCAGCGTAATTGTAATGGAACAGTTATCGAATGCTTACACAAACCAATGGCAAATATTTATACGCGACCTATTTATATTATAAGTAATATATGTATACTTACAAGAAGTGATGGCGTATTATGAGGGTAAATAGTATTTTTTTTTCAGCAGGTATTCCCCTACCTCTTATTATTAAAAAGTATTAGAAACATTATTCCTCGAAATAGTTTTTAATTACACATAAAAAATAGACAGAACGATATGCGCAGTAAACGAGACATATCACCTACACACAGCTAAAATTAAAGAAATCTCAGTCACATAAAATATCTTTAAATTTAATTGCATCATTAACGTAGTAATACTGTCCTTTATTTTGTCAAATAAAAACTAGAGACAGGATAATAAGTACCTAGAGCAATTAAGTAAGTCAATGAATTTGTGTATGATTGATAGAAGTGCAATATTTAGCACATAATAAAACCTGTGCATAAAACTAAATTACTTACCGAAGACAGTTGCGGCATTGCCTGAGAAGCATATCGAACATTGCAAATTAAAACTTTATATTTAGTCAGAAATCTAAGCGATGCGTGCAAAGACATTTTAAAAACATAAATTAATATTAGAAACAAACGAAAACTAATTTTACGAAGCGTTCTGACTTATCATTCTAATCGTTTATTATAGAAATCCCCTCTTTTACCGTGCCCTCTGCAGAAGGCCAACCGATTCGGTGGTGATTTTGGGAATAAATAATGTGCAATGTGCTCACTACTTAACACTTCTGCTTCAGTTGAACAAATACTTGAGAACTTTTTATAAATTAGAAAAACAACAAATAAACATTTAAGAGTTCCGCATGTTTTATTTTTTCTCAATTTGCATATATTTCCATGGCTTATATGGCAAGGACGCGGCTTGTAATTAAGTAAAAAAAAAATTGTATAAACTATTGATTAATTATTATTTTATTCAATAGTTAACATCTATCATAACTTCTGTTCAAAAAGAGAAAATGAACATCATATGGCTTTTTGCAAATAAACGGATTCTTGAAGTTATCTATCAAAATGCTTAATTTTAATAAAGTTTACAAATGTTAAAAAGTAGAGTGAGGAGCAAGCCAGGCAAAATCAGTGTTGCCAATGCCAATTGTTCAAAATCCCCAAAAATCACGGTTAACATCCCCAAATTTGGGGAGAACAAAGTTCATATTTCCCACATCTCGAGTTTTCATTATTTATTACAAATACATCGCTTAAAAATAACTATAATAAAAAATTTAGAAACTCAAAATGTAACCATCTATTACGTTTGCTGTGAATGTAAACAGAATGTAAAATGTTAAGCAAATTATAAAATTAGATGACCTTAAATCGTTTATTTGCTATAATGAGGGGACGGGCCTAAGTGGGAGAAAGGATCGCAAACTCAACACGCACCGACTGGTAATTTTACAAGGGTAGTATTTACCGCTAGTAGTAGTAGTAACCGCTTACCAAAAAAGCAAGTTTTTTCACAACCAAATGTGCCACTTCCCCAACAAAAGTACCGATTGAACATCAAAATAAGGACATGAAAAGAAAATTAATTTAAATTAAAGCATAACATTTTATCACATTGCATATCTGACATCTAAATACATAGGTATCTAATATTTCTGGCATACAATAAACGTATGACCACAAATTTATGAGAAAACACATACCTATTTCATTGAAAGAGTGACTGATCTAGTCTATTGAAAGGAAACACCATTTTGTATGTATAATAACCATAATGGTCTAAATAAACAATTTGTCGTAAACAATAAAATCAACAAAAAAAATATTAAAATTGCATACAAACATTGCAACAAAGTGTAATTCTTGAAAATTGTAGTATTTTTTTTTTGTATTTGTAAGTAAAGATTCAATTTAATTCCAATATTATGGATTACTTACAAGAAAATCAGCTCCAAATATAATATTTGTTGTACGTGATTCATTGCATAAACGAAGATAATTTATGGAGCAACTTTTGAAAAAAATTACGGTAATTTTGTTAAAAGAATTGTTATTTCATTTAGAGTTAATTTAAATTCATCAATTGCAATCAGTATTTTTGTTATGTAAACCATATTTTTGTAAATAAATGAACACTTTCGTTTTACTCTGAGAAATTAGCAGAGGTCTAGTTTTGATACATGTTTTTAAATTATTTTTGATACTAGTTTTGTTAGACGGTTGTTCTATTTGTAGCGAAATATTTTTTTAGATGTGCAAGTTATTTGAATAATGAACATAATTTTATATGTATTGAGTTTTCTGATATGCACTTAAATATTTTCCATTTTACAATTCAGAACCCAGACGATCTGATAATAATTCTATTTAAGCTGCTTGATGTTGAAAAACACATCGATATAGTTCATCACTGTGTTTCTAACAATAACGATCAAACTAACGATGCATCGATAGATTAAACAGAATCATAAAATGTTAGAATCCCCAAATTTTCCCCACATAGCGCCAATCCCCAAAAAACCTCAATCTAGTTGAAATTCCCCGCAATTTGGGGAATTCCCCACAAATTGGCAACCCCGGGCAAAGTACAACCATTCTTTTGTGTCGCTACATTTGTATCTTGCTCAGCTTGCGATCCAAATAAGCTAGCACATTTGTTTAATATAGTAATTTCGCTATCAAAATTTTAGAATTAGAAGAATAATAATAAAAAGTACCTTGAATGATGCAGAGGTATAACTTATCTTTTCCTCTAACGCAAATGCGCTTTTACATTGAAATGTAAGCGCAACTTTGACATGTGTCATTTTGCGAAATAAGCAAAATTTAAAAAAATCGAAATACTTCGCGTTGTCCGTCCCTTCGGTCCACGTGTTTTTTAGTGTTTGAAATAAATTAAAATGACCAAATTGAAAGCCAAGAAGTCTAAAACAAATAAAAAACAAACACAAGAAAGTAAGAAGGAAGATGAAAATGTTGTAGTACTTCCGCCAGTACGAATGTCCGATGATCCGACGCCGAAACAGGTAAAAAATGTATCTTTTAGCCATTCAAGAGTGAAAATTGTAATCAATTACGTGATATTTGTTGTATGTGAAGAATTTTAATGAATACTTATACTTTTTACGTCTCTAACATCCGATCATAACCTGGCAAACTGCTGGTGTTTTTAGGTAAAATGGATCAATAGGCAAAGGGTCTTGGTATTTGCAGCTCGTGGTATAAACCATCGACACCGCCATCTAATGGAGGACATCAAGAAATTGATGCCACACCACAAGACTGAGTCGAAAATGGAAAGAAGCAAGAACTTGTACATTGTGAATGAGATCAGTGAAATGAAGAATTGCAACAAATGTATTTTATTTGAAGGACGGAAAATGAGAGATCTTTACATGTGGATGGCAAACATTCCTAATGGGCCCAGTGTCAAGTTTCTAGTGGAAAATAGTAAGTAATATACACACATTACTTTTGTTAGCCAGTGCTCGCTAGGTGTTTACAGACACGATTACTCACTACTGGGTAAAAAATACCATAGAATGTAAGGGCATTATCTAAGATAAGAAAATTGATTTTTCAATCTGTGAAGATGTAGTAGTTTTAATGATGTTATTCTTATTAAATAAAATTACAAAATAGAACTTGTAATGAGTAGTTTTGAAAAATTATAGATTATTGTAGAAAAGTACAAAAAATTTAAAAGAAATATGTTTAACAAAATATTAGTATTTTTATAATACACGAACATTGATAAAATCGACATGGAGCAAAACAGACTTGAGGATGTGCTGCACTTAATGGAATGTGGCCATTATCTGGCTCTAAGAAACCAATTTCGATTGGGGGATCTTTGGCAGGTTGAGGAGTTGAACATTGTGTTGAGTGAACCGTTGACGAAGAGGGCTAAAACTCTGTACTCATATGTGAGGTCTTGTCTCTTACTGTGAGGCGACGCAATATGGTGGAGTGATATAGTCCACAGGGATTGACAAAACAAGGCCGATATTGACACCCAAGTGTCTCTGTTATAATATATTATCATGTCCGGCTTTGCCATCATGGTGCGTTGTTGATGTCAAGAGAACCACTTTATTCTTCTGTAGGACATATGATACCACCATATAGTGTTCTTTAAACCTGAAAAAGTTGCTACAATCTTCTCTTGGCCCTTGGTCATCGTAAAGACTGATGAAAACAATCATAAGTAAACTGAAAAATAATATAACAAGTACTGTTGCTACCGGGTATTTTTTTTCCCATACTCACTTTATTTGTATGGCGTCCCCAAGGGCCGCGTGCAAACTGGTTGTCTCGCACTGTGCATATGCATTAACTATTAGTTAGAAGGTACCTAGAGCCCCGTGTCGCCAGGGCGCTCAGAAAAGTAATATTCATCGTACATAAATACTCTGTGGTATTTTTTACCCAGTAGCGAGTGTTGATGGGTTAAATAAAAAATATCTGACTTATAACCCACTCTGGCCATCATAAAAAGGGCAAATTTAGTTCAAGTTCACAAAATAAACAGTTGTTAATTTATCATTGTCTATACATCAATATATAATTACAGTTTACACAATGGGAGAGTTGAAAATGACTGGAAATTGTCTTCGAGGGTCCAGACCGCTGCTCTCATTTGATCCTCAGTTTACTAAAGATGCCCATTACAACCTACTAAAGGAGCTACTGACGCAAATATTTGGAGTGCCGTACCACCATCCCAAGAGTCAGCCTTTCTTTGACCATGTGTATAGTTTCATGATCCTGGACAATAGAATTTGGTTCAGAAATTACCAGATATTGTCTGAAGATGGTGCACTTGCTGAAATTGGACCTAGATTTGTGTTAAACCCTGTTAGTAGTTTTTATTTTTTTAAGTTTACTTAAAGATTGAGATATTCTAAATCTCAAATTTTTGGCTACTTTTTATACCAATAAAAAGAAATCCTTATTTTATTCTTTAACAAGTTGGGTTAGTGCCACTTAGTTCCTACTTTTATTTTTAGGTAAAAATCTTTTCTGGGTCATTTGGTGGTGGTACTTTATGGGAAAACCCTAAGTATGTAAGTCCAGCAAAGTTAAGACAGGCATTCTCAAAGAAAGCTGCTAACAAATACGAGAAGAGAATTGAGCAGAAAGTTGTATATGAAGCCACTAGACCAGAAACTGCTTATCCTGATATTGAAGGTCCAGAATTTTTCAAAGGAGATCCATTGGAGAAAGCTCAAGAAGTTCTGATGAAAGGTGGGTGGGTACAATTGTCATAGGAAGAGCAGTGACAGTTCATACAGTTATGGTACAAAATAATTTCATGTTTATATTTTAGGCTTAAAATATAAAAAAGGCAAAAAATATTGATCAATTTTCTTAAAAAAGTTTTAAAATGAACTGGTTTTCAAAATTTCAAGTTGCTCGTTTGTTTGAAAATTCTAACGTTATTGTATTGTTATAGAAGTAAAAGAAGAGGATGAATCTATGGCAGACAGTGAGCCTGAACTTCCGAGCAAACCTGTATTCTCTATGAAGAAGGCTAAGAATAGACCAGACAAAGTAATTCGCCGCAAACAACTCAAGGCAAAGAGCAAAGCAATCTCTGATCAAATCAAGAAGAGAAAACATTTGCTGAAAAAGAAAAAACCAACTAAAGGATAAGATTTTTATTCTGCAATAAAACAATTCTTTTTCACACAATATTGGATTTATTGATAAAAATGCAATGTTTACAATTACAAAAATAATAATAGCATTGACAGTACATTGCCATCAAATATATGGGCAGCAATTATTGTGCCACTAAATGTTACATTTAGGTATTTAAGAGCAAAGCTCGAATGGGAAGAACACATGAGGTAGAAAGAATAAAATTCTTTGTCTGAATGTAACAGGTGCTTAGTAAGACATCAAGTGCAAATAAACATTTAAAGAAACTGAAACACTACATTACACAAAGTTACCACACATTGCATGATTAATAGTTGCATGTTAATTAAATTTTGTAAAGTATCACAATATAATAGATCAACCCAAAAAGTGAGCTCTGAATTGTGCATTCAGTGAGATTATGCTTTAAAAATGGACGGTTGAAAGATCATTTAACATAATGTATTCATAAAAAATAATTTGTAAAACTTCTGTGCAAAAAAATTCCACAAGTAAATATCTGTATCTTTCCGTATGTAAAAGCGATCTAAATTATTAAAATCTATTAAATTTGTAAAAAAATATAAATTGTACTTCATCATTCGAAATTGATTTGGGTATGTAAAATATGAAACATAGTTCAAAAGCAAACTTAATGCTAGTCTTAAATAATTTAAATTGTTTTACAAAATGCAAATCTAAAAGTTCAATATCGTCACTTACACCTATGAATACTAAATACGCAATTACGTTTTACTATGCGATTTAAAGAGTATTTATTAATCATGTAATAATAGAAATTACAATTATTTAAAATCAGAACTTTCATCCAAAATATGGCATATCAATAAAATAATTCTCAACATCTTGTAAACATTCATAAATCACATCTATCACTCTAACATGAGTATACAAAATTTTCAAAAAGATTTGTAGCATACAATTGTGTATAAGATAAATCAGTGCTTTGTAGAGCCATATAACCTAAGGATAAAATAAAAGCTCAGTAAAGCGGACAACTTTAAAATTCATTTTTTTCTGATCCAAATTCGTAATCATGTTACCTGCAAAAATAACATTCAGATAATATTTTATTGAGATCTATTATCAAGAGTGTGAGAGATATATGTGCCGAAGCGTTCATTCTAAGAAAGCAATATAAGAGTATAAGAACAATATCTATGAAGATAATGTTGACGGCTATACTTAATTACATTATAATAAGAAACACACACCAATATAAAGCTTGCGTAAGCAACTTACTGTTCAGTACTTGTTCTGCAAGTTCTGTAGTTCTGCACCCTCAATGTTTCTCTTTTGAGAATCACCGCCAAGTTCAGACAGACGCGAGTTTTTCCATCTACCCTCATCACCGTTCATATTGCGGTCCTCGCACACGCACAAGAATAACGAATCAACCACCATCTGAAAGATAAAACTGAATATTAACTTATATGAATATGCGTATAATATATCGTCAACTGCCTACTGAAGCGCAGTTTTTCTATTTGTCTTTTTACACAGTTCCGAATATTTTTATAATCTGAGGTCACAGATCGAAATACAAAATTTGGGTTTTGTACAATTGTATGTTTAATGCTAGTTTTAAATGTCATGCATATTGTTTGAGGAACGACCAAGTAATCCCATCGGTACAATTGGTCTACTTTCCCGATCGGTCCACTTTGACTATTCGTCTACTCTCCCGATCGGTCCACTTGTTTTTCCCGATTCGTCTATTTTCCTGTTTGGTCTACTTTCCTGATAGGTCTACTTTAATGATGCGTCTACTCAGATAATCTCAGTACAGTACAGAGTACTAAAGAAACCGACCTCAAAAGTTTGTGGAATTACATCAATTTGCCAAGTTTTATCGAAATCGGTTACTGGGAAGTGCGCGAAACCGGATTCATTCCCCAGTTTGCCACTCTCAGAGGTGGAATATTTTCTGCAAATTAATAATTTACTGACTCTTTCCAATAAAAAAAAACCATCAAAATCGGTTCACAAATAACCGGAGTTTATCACGTAACATACATACAAAAAATACAGTCGAATTGAGAATTTCCTCCTTTTAGAAGATCGATCTGGAAAGTGGTCGAAATGGGAAATGAACGAATACGGAATAACAAGTGGACCGATCTGGAAAGCAGAAGAATAGTGAAACTCGACCGATCAGGAAAGTAGACGAAATGGGAATTAGACGAATCGGGATGTAGACGAATAGTGAAAGTGGACCGATCGGGAAAGTAGACCGATTGTACCAAAGTGCAAGTAATTCCGTTCGTTTTAAAGTTGCAGTTTTTTACACCACTGAATTTTGTAATGAAAACGTACTGCGTGACTGAGACGTTCCTCGCATGGACAATTATTATATCTACAGACAAACACCAAGTAATAATTAAGCGAATTATGTGTCTAAATGATTCAAATACAAACTAATGGACGCGTTATATAACGTACGTATGTTCGTAGTGGTACCAGAAAATAAATGTGCATGTGGCAATAGACATTGAAAACCTTACTATAGTGCATGTTTGATAGTTTTATATCAGACTTGTGTATCATTCGACATGACACGCTTAGAGATCTATTTTCTATTTCAAATATTACTTATGAAAAGTGTAAACACACCTCATAAAGAGATAAAATGCAGTGTGCGATAAAGAAGGAATATATGCAGATGACGAGAGTGGGAACAGCGAAGAAGTGTAGATCGGAGTTGCGTTTAAGCAGCAGCAGGCCGATGATGCCTGTCACTGCAGTCACTATACACTTGCCCAGGAACAGTATGAAATCGCCAATACTATTGATTGTAGCCACTTGTAATGCGTTGTTCACTAATGTACTGAAAGCCTGGAATACGGAAATATGAATTACTATTTAAGGTCTAACTTTATGGTAGTTCATAAATGTGTAACAAATAGAAATGGTCATAGGATCAAATGGTACAATCTTTTATCTGATATGACTAATCCATTGCAGCTATGAGGGAACAGTAAATAAAATTTACAATAATTAAATAAAATCGGATTGCAATCATGTAACAGTTATTTTGTTAACTTAATTATGAAAATTTAGTTGAATCAATAATAGTTACCTTAGCAGCAGCTTTACAAAAATGCACTCTCTCGATTGTGATGATGGTGTATGCGTTGTGGTTCAAATACCGAATGAATTTTTCGAGACAATAAAAGCAGCATATACCGCATTTGAGACCGCATTTCGCGCATTCGGAGCCCTTTTCAGATCTAGCTGTTAACCTGTAAGTATACCATGTAACTTGAACTATTGGGAATACACCAATGCAATTAAATAACCTTTGTGCTATCTTATAGGTACGTATGAATAATTTTCTAATCACATACAGCATATAGATAAACATATGGTTTAAACATATGTTTAAAAAAATAATATACTAACTTGGCATGTAAATACGTAAGTATAAGACGTGGAATCTTGAATATCGTAATGAGGAACGATCCTTTTGCGACGGAACCCAAATGATACTTTATCAACTTGCCAATGGAATATAGTACAGGAGATTGTGAGTTTTGACCCCTGAAAAAAATACACATTTGGATATAACAAACAATATGTGTTAAAAATAATAGTTTCCACTCTGCGAAGGTTCACAACCCTCGGAAAACGTGTGAAGTCCCGAACACACATTGGTCCAGCGATGCGGACTGTGGCCTAAACCCTCGTCTGAAAGGAGACCTGTGCCCAGCAGTGGGACGTATAAATGGCTTGATAATGATGATGATGAGTGCCTTCTAAAAATGCTCTGACACAAAAACATTGGAAAATCAAAGAAAAATATTTAGATTACTGCTATTTATTTTCCTTTTGTGCATACGTACTTTATATACATTTGTTTATGACCAAATTTTAACAAAAACAAGAAACATGTCTAATTGTGATTGATGTGGCACATATTTGTTTTGCGAAATGTCAGTGGACAGGCGTGGTGCTTACCACCAGGCCCACGATTTGTTCATCTGTGGTATTACAAAAAAAAAGTTGAAAAGATAGTCTCTTGCTGCTGGAATATAAAGAGGCTGCCATAAGGTTGGCGTTTTTGACCAATATTATCTGACCGCTTTCCTCGAAACTGACACTGGCCCAAGCCTAGTGGCCGCCATTAAGGAAATAATAAGAAAATGTAATGTGACTGTTTAATATTGTTGAAAACACAAAAATGCTTTATCTCACAAATATATCAAATAACGTCTGCGTAGCACCGGCGTCAAGGTTATTGAAAAAACTCGTTATTGTAAACCTACTCTGCCATGTATTTTCTAAATGCATTCTAACAGGCTTAGTACCTGAAGTACCAATGCGAAACAGCACCAGCAATGGTCATCTGTTGGCAGCCGAGGATGAACTCGCTGCCCCATACCAGGCTGATGAGGCAAATCCACCACATGCTCTTCACCCACATGGGGTCAAAATCGACGGTTTGGAATGAAAATGCTGCAAATAAAGGAAAATTTACTTAGGAAATGAAACTATTTTTCCGGATTTAAATCGCGTATATTTGTTTTTTCAAACAAAACGACGTTTCGGGCACTTCACTTCGGGTCCCATGGTCACGGTTGACTGAAAATTTACTTGTTTGTTATTAACACAATGGTCATCAAAAATCCATATTGTATTTGTGCGTAGTGCATTTTTATAATAATATTTGCAATAGTACTGTGACGGTGTGACCTCCTTGATTGTCATCCCACCTTTTTATTTAAACTTCTTATTTTATTCTCTCACTCGTATTTACATTACAATTTTGAATTGTTCCATTCTTTTGCCTCGCATTACTCGTATTCTAATTTTGTTTCGTTCCATCGTCACTCCCTGCCCGATCGGGGCAGAGGACACATCTTCTTGTTATTTTTTTTAACCATTTACCATTTTACTAAAAATCTCCTGTACAATATACATTTTTAAGATCATAATTATTACCATTAAAGATTTATTACCATTACCCTTTACCCTTTTGAACCTTGAATGTTAAACTTACTAAGCGAGATCTGCGGTTGACAGAACATCCCAAGCGACTGCACTATAATCAACTGAACTCCACCAACAGCACCAGCACTCCTTACAGTACGTACACTTTGAGTCTGTGTTTACAATAAGGAGGAGTATGTTGTTGAACACGATTTGTTAATTTTATTTCTGCATGTTACTAAAGATACGAAGGCCGTCATATTATTCATTTATTTAAACTTTATTTTTCAATATACTGAAATACAAATGGCAGGCTCAATGTCACAAGGCACCTTCTACCAGTCAACCATTGCGCCAAATAGAAAAAAAATAGGTGGGTGCTACAAACAAAAAGAACAAAATACTATAAGCTAACAGTTAATTTATATGGTATAAAATAAATAATATAACATAATTATACGTACTTAATAAATATGTACATACATGATAAACCTACATACACATTATAATAGTATATAATATGTACCCACAGCAACATTATACTGAGTCTTGATTTTGACAATTTTCAAACAGATGCTTGCGCAACATGCGTTTGAAAGAAAATTTGACGTGATTATTTTGACGTGATTTGGTATTATCGGATTTGAAGAGGTACGGACAATGGCACATCAGACTACACATTCTTGTTCGAAAATCGCCTCCAGTTTAACGGAACAAGGTACGTCAATGTGTAGCTTGATGAGCTGGCGTGTGTGCATTGCTGGGCTATAGCGATTAAAAGTTTTGAGATTATATCATAAGTCAATGTCGGTCCGTCCAGTGCCAAATATTCGACGTCTCCACATTTGCACGTCTTTGAGCCCGCGCATAAGTTTGCCCAGACTCTTGCTCTAGAACTCGTCTACAAGACATACATATAGTCAGACGTTGTTTACAAGATGTAATTCTAAGTAGACAATTTACAATAAACTGCCACGCAGAGGTCCCGGGCCGGGAGAAATATTTGTATGGCCTACATTTATTTCTCTCTTGAGTTTGGGTGTACCTACCTAAGTGTCTGTGCATGGCACACGCGATACAGCGTTTCCCCAGTGCGGGGCTATGAGTGTGCAAAAAAAAAGAAATACCCATTAAAACTTTTTTTTTAAATACCAACTGTCTAATTATTGCATCAACGAGAAATCGTATAACCGCTGTTTTAGACACAAAATCCTTGATCGTAATAATATTTTATTCTGAATGCTAACACAGAAAAGAACAATACGAGTTTCGTCATTGAGTATAATTTCTAAATAGTTACTACCAAAATTAAAATTATGAATCTTATATTGCTGATCAATGATTATCCGGCTGAGACTGGGTCACGATTGCTCCCCGGTTTTCCTAGCCAAAATTAAAGTACGTGATCACTCCCTCTGTGAATGTGGACTAGAGGAAGGCACTCTAGAGCACTTATTTTTTAACTGCCCCCTAATAAGCTTCCCACTTTACGATTTGCTTCCCGAAAATATTCCTCGCCCAATAAATATCAACTATTTCCTAGCCAATGCACACTGTTTTTTTTTTTTTTTTTTTTTATTGTGACTCGGCAAAATGACTGCACCGCGCCTGATGGAAAGTGCGAATACAGTCCAGAGATGAGAGTAACGGATGGAAAACACAAATATCTTCACTCCGTCACTATCATTTTGCCGGTCTGGCCAAATGCTTCTTCACACTACGTTTGAAGGACCCGATGTTATAGAGGGGAGGGAATACATGCGCCGGGAGTTGGTTCCACAATTTGATGGTTCGGCATAAAAACGAATTGCCAAACTTTTTAGTGCGGGACGGTATTGAACTGACCGTCCAACTGTGGCAACGCAGTCCGGCACGGGTGGTCCGCTGATGGAAAGGAGAGGAAGGGACAAGGTTGAATAACTCTTCAGAGCACTCACCGTGGTACAGACGATAGAATACGCTAAGAGACGCTATATCTCTGCGAAGCTGTAACGACTCCGCATGCTCAGTTACATGAGGATCGTTGACAACACGGAAGGCGTAGCGCTGCAGTCCATCTAGGGCATCGAGCAAGTACTTGGCAGAGCCGTCCCAAAGGTGCGAACAGTACTCCATGCTGCTTCGGACCTGAGCTTTATACAACAGGTATCGCAGCTCTGGAGTAAAAAATCGGTGCACCTTGTTCAGGATGCCAAGCTTGCGCGACGCGGTACAGATGACGCTCTCGATGTAATCTTTGTTGCTCATGTCCTTCCGGATGCTCATCCCCAGTAGACTGAGCCTGTCCTGCAGCGTCAGCGTTGTACCCTGAAGATGGGGAAGTGGAAGGAATGGGGATTTTTTGGAGCTGAACGCGCATACCTGGGTTTTCTTGGCATTGAACTCAACCAAGTTTCGGGAGCCCCACGACGATATATGCTCCAAAACATGGTTGAGCTCAGCGACAAGTTTTTCCCGGTTTCTCTCAGGGTCCTCCCGGGTGCTTGACGATTGCTTATAATAGCAACCGTGCACTGTGCTATCATCTGCATAGCAATGAATGTTGCCAAAAGGCAACAAGTCATTGATATGCAGAAGGAACAGCGTGGGCGACAGCACTGAGCCCTGTGGCACCCCAGCATTAACTGTCACGAGCCGCGAAGTGCCTCCGTCAACAAGGACACGCAATCTTCGCTCGCGCAGAAAGCCGGAGATCCACTCACAAAGGCGGCCGGGAAGACCATATGCCGGAAGCTTGGAGAGGAGACCACGGTGCCAGACCCGATCAAACGCCTTAGCAATATCCAGACTTATCGCTAAGGTTTCGCCCTGTTTGTCGATAGCTTCACCCCAGAGATGCATTAGATACGCTAGAACGTCACCCGTTGATCGGTTCGGCCGAAACCCATACTGCCGATCATTAAGAATGGAGTGACGTTCCAGGTGCCGGATTATCTGGATATTTAGAATCCGCTCCATCACTTTGCAGAGCACTGAAGTGACAGCTATTGGGCGATAGTTTGTCGGATCAGACCGATCTCCTTTCTTGGGGATAGGTTGCACGTTGGCCTCCCTCCAAGCTAGGGGCACGTTACCAGATTGGTATGAGAGGCGGTATAAGCGCGTCAGTACGGGAGACAACTCCGCCGCACACCTTTTAAGGACGATAGGAGGTATCCCATCCGGACCATAGGCTTTCCGCACGTCAAGAGTCTGCAATTCCTTGCGGACATCACATTGTCTGATAACTATATCAGGCATTGTGACTCCGCAGTGGGGAATTGACGGCGGTTGCGCATCTTGGTCGTGAATGCGCGAGTTAGCCCCAAAAAGGTCGGCCAATAAATTGGCTTTCTCTTCGGGGCCATAGGCCAAAAATCCATCGGGATACCTCAAAGGCGGCAGCGACGAACGACAAAAATTGGACTGCACGGCTTTGGCCAGGCTCCAGTAGGCACGGCTACCGGTGGGATGGGCTACCAGCTTCTGGCCAATCCGTGAAACGCGCTGGGCATCCGCTCTTATGTAAGCCCTCCTGCAAGACTTGGTTGCTTTGTTATAGGCTGCTTTAAGGGACGCAAGGTTGGGATCCTTTGTTACACGACCCCTGATCCAACCACGATATGCAGCCTGTTTCTCATTAACAGCGTCCATGCATTCGCGATTGAACCAAGGGCGTCCTCTGCGATTGGCGATGACACTGGAAGACGGTATGTAGTAATCCATAGCCGTTCCAATCTCATCGACAACAGCATCGGCAGCTGCTGAGGCATCCTTTCCCGCAAAGCAGTGCTGCAACCAAGGGATGGACGCAAAGTAGTCGCGCATACCATCCCAATCCGCCGACGAGTAGTGCCAAATGCGACGAGTGACCTCCTTCAGCTTAGTTGGAGGCATTTGGGAAACCTTACACCCAACCAAACAGTGATCAGAACTTCCCAGGGGGGCGCTGACTGATACTGTATAGTAGGTAGGGTGACTCGCGAGCAGAAGGTCAAGCAAAGAGGGTGCATGATCCGATATGTCTGGAACCCGGGTGGGCTGGGTTACCAGTTGGGTCAAGTCATGCGTGAGAGCGAAAGCGTGGGCAGTTCTTCCTGCATGGTCAGTCTTGAGGGAACTTAACCATGATTCATGGTGAGCATTAAAGTCCCCCAACACGACCATCTCCGCAGATGGGAACTGCGCCTGCGCGTCAAGAGTCGCCTGGCTCAGTTGGTCAAAGAGCCTAGTTGTCTCCGCATCCCCACTGTGGGATCTATATAAGCACGCGAAGACTCTAGCTGAACAACTAGATTCTACGAGCACCCACATAGTGGAAAAGGAGGGGTCCTCCAGGCAGCGCAGACGGCGACAGCACACATCCGAACGAATATATACACATACCCCGGCTTTGGCCTGAAAGTTTTCCTCAAGCGAGTAGCCGGGGTAGTTCAAGTAACTCATATCATTCGGACGGCGGATCTGCGTCTCCGTCAGGAAAAGCAGGGCAGGCCGGGCTGTCTCGAGGTGATGGTGGACAGCTTTGAGGTTGGAGTGGAGTCCGCGGATGTTAGCGAACTCAATAATAAACGCGGTGGGGGGATTAGGCACCGCTGAACGATCTGCATTCTTATGTTGCGCTGTCATGGTGGGTAAGAAGGACGGTAGTGTGAAGAGGTGAAGCCTTCGGCACCGCACCGAAGAAGAAAAACGAGGGGAACTGCTAAAGTCCACTAGTTTTCACTTTATACAAATTTCTAAAACTTAATAACATAAATCTGTAACCAGCTCCGAATAGCCTCCGCTCGACCACATTCATTTCATAATTTTCTGTCCCAACTAATGATGTCGGAGAATAATTCCCATTTCTGAAGTCTTAATTTTTTTTAAAAATTAATATTCTTCATTCTTCCCGTATTCTCCCATTATCTTTCGTATAATTTTATTTCTTTTTCCATCCTCCATGATAATTTTCCACGTTGACCCAGGTCAAAAGTTTGTTACTGAACGAAAATGATGCCTAACTCTCTTTTACTAAACGATTTTAATTTTTATGTTCCGCTAAATAAAACTTCCAAAAATGTTTGCAAAAGTAAGAAAATAACATGAGCCCTCAAATTATATTTTTGTAATGTCATTAAAAATATGTATATATATATAACCGTCAATGTGTATAATAATCGCCGAAGTATTTTAATAACCGGCAATCTATCTCGCCACCGCTCTACATGTCTTTCAACCCTGACGTTGGCGAAATCGTCGCGCAAAACGACGGAGCCATAGATACAAAAGTTGAAGTTGAAGTTGCTTATATTGCTGAGGAGTTCTTTGAAGTAAATCCCACTTTGTGTAACATTTAACAAGGTGCAAGAATCAGTTGTGTTTGTCTACAAACTCAGTAAACTGATTTCAATATAGTAGGCACAACGCCCTATTTTCGTGACTTTGGTTCTCCGTAAAATACCCTCGCTCTGGATTAAGAGAAACCCCAAATAAAAAATAATAAATCTTACTTTTGTTGATGGAATCTGGGTTCCCATTAATTTGTACTGCAGAATTATCAACTTTGGCGGGCGTCGCGCTGCCGTTGATTAGGAAATTCGTCTTGTAGGGTATGCCTGGATACTCCGCTGTTGCTAAACACACCTGCAACAATTATATGGTAATCAATTGCTCTGAGGAATCTTTGGAAAGTAGGTAAGTGATTGCACACACGATAATGAGAAATTGTTATTGTCATGTAACTTTAGGGTGAAGGGACAAAAAATTTGAGACACGGCGATTTTTAGCAGCGATGTAAACGCGCGATTGCATCGGTACACTTGCGACTTATAGGCGATTGCTTCGATGCAAACGCCCAAGTGCATTGATACAAATGTGCAATTGCTTCGATATAAAAGCGCGAACGCATCGATGCAGACGCGCGTGTGTGTAAAGTAGACGATTAGCGACTCCATCGCGTTTGCATCAAAGTCGTCGTGAGTAAACGCTCTTAGTGTACCTACTAGGAATATAGAAAAATAATTTGGTAACTCCTCTAACACGGTAAAGAATAAGCAAGTCTCGAAACTATAGTCTCTGTAGCAGGAAAGCTATTGGGCGTGATCCAGAAATATCTATTTGTGCGGCTGTAGCCCAAATGCTTATACTAAGAGTGGAAAAGTGTAGATACTAACCACAACTGCAGACCAAAACATAAGAAACAGTACAAGGAAGAAAAACGTTATTATAGGCTGTAAAAACAATGCTGGTATCGAGCCTAGACAATGCGCAGTTTCCTTGAATAGAGCCGCCAGAAACGAGACCCGCGATCGCATAACAAATACCAGCAGCAGGAGTATTAACTGAAAGTGGAAAAATTATATTAAAACAAATGACAAAAATATTATTTGACACTGGTTACATTTCAACAGAGTTATCCACTCCTTATCATACTTACAGTTATTATTGTGGCTATAATAGAATACCACAGAAATGCCTCTTTGTTCTTAAGAGATTCCTGAAAACAACACAAAGAAAAAGATTTATTACTTCGCTTTAATAGTGACCTATGTACGTGAAAACAATCATTCTAAACATGGAACAAAATTAAATAGGTTTTGTCACACATTTTACTTACAGTTAAAAAAGGAGTATCAGCAAAGTCTTTTTGGCCAGTCCTCAGTTCGTGGTATGTGTACCAAAGCAAGGCAGTGCCAGCTACACTCACAATAGATACCAGGATCATGAATATAAAAGAAACAAAGGTTGCCAAGAGATGGAGGATTGAGACCATTACTAGCGAACATACTGTAAATAAGATAATCATTAAGTTTATTTAATATTATTAAATTTATTTGCCATAGTAATAGTAGTATTATGTTAAATTATTTGTGGTACACTTGAGGAGTTTTTAGATTTTGGTGGATTGAAGGGAACTGATTAGTTTTTACTAGTGAAATGGATACTGGTTACTCATTGAAATTGAACAAAAAAATAAGATTATTTATAACTAGCAACTTGGCATTCATTAAAATAAAAAACTATATACTTAAGATACATTTTCATAATGATACTCGAAACAAAACATTGTTTTTAAATAGTTCTTCCTGTTACAATTATTTGACCTTTGTGTGGAGGAAATAATTATAATATAGGTACGTATTTATTAAGCAGAACAATAACATAGTTAAGTAGAACTTGACAGCAGTGTAAAATTATTGAAGTCTGATAAAATCATTAAAAAAATATGGCAATTTTTTTAGCATGTAATCATTAATTTTTGGAAGTATATCTCAATTGAATTTCACACTATTGTAGAACTGGACAATGTGGAAACATGACATCATAGAGTTAACTGTAGTGAGTCAGTGTTTCTGAGCGCTCAATGTCAGCCCACACATTAATTACCCTGTGATACAGTCTGCCATGTTAACTAGCTATTGGATGTTTATGTATGAATGTATAGGTAATTAGGTCACTTATTGAATAGTTTCACTAGGCATGTGCTACTGTAAATTATGCTATAATACACAAAAATACATTCATAAAATTTAAAGCATTTGTTTGGTTCTAGCATATGAAAATAAGAATATAAGGAAATTAAAAGATACTTACTAAATGCTATAATAATACATATTATCATTTCCTTCCAAGATGAATAAAGATCAGACAGCATCTGCTCAATAGTATCCCAACTGTTAAGCAACTCATAGAAGTCACTCACAACTTTTTCTGCCAAATCCTTTGCCTTTTTTGGTACACATCGGTTTAATAATGGAAAAGAATCATACACAGGCAAAATCGGACAAGGACCAATGGTGCCATGTAGATCTTTGGGAATGGTTGATACATTATTCAAATTTATGTCATATCTACATAAGTTTGAACCAGTTTCCCTGTAAAAGTTTTGTATGTCGTTGAAAGTATCCAGCTGCTTGTCGGGGCATTTTTTCACACAGATTTTGATCGATCGTCGCAGGTGTTTGACGTCCATAAAAAAGAGGTAGCTCTTATCCTCGGTGCCAATACCGGCGATTGGTAAGTTAAGGAGTTTTTTATTGGTCTTCACTCCGCAAGTATTTCCAAACGAATCGTATCCATTGATGAGTCTCTGAGGATTGCCGTAAACGAACGAAATGGCCGCAACAATAATCTGAATAATAAGTATACAAATAATAAGTAAGTACTACGGCACGTAAGCTAACAATAGTAGTTAAGATCGATAAAAATTAAGGTCACATTTCTTTATTTGGTTATCGAGAAAAATAATAACAGTAAAAAGGTATAACAGGTATGTATATATTACATTATTACTTTTTCAATACCGTAGTTGTAGAGATAGTTATTTACGTTGAATAAAAACAAATGTTTACCATTAAAATCCAAAACAGAATGTAAATAATCAGCCAGAGTACATCTGTGCAGCCTTTTTTTGGAGCTTCATTTTGAGGGGCTATTTCACTTTGAGCACACCCCATTGTCACACAACACTATGCTTCAGGAATGATACAAATATAACATTACATTCCAATTTAATTGAAACAAAAGAATAACAATGAAAATAACCAATATTAACCGATAATTTCGCCTCTAAGAAACAGCGCAGGCAAACGCCGACGTAACGACGCTACCAACAAACGGACGCCGTTCTTCCGAAAAACCGCGCGCAACGCGGACTCATACATACAACAACGTCAACAACAACAACAAAAAAAGTCTAGCCAATAAAAGCCCTTACGCGCCGCCGCCGCGCGCAAGACCGCGGCTCGCTGCTGCCTTTGCTTTGCCCTTACCTCACCTCCTTCACCCCCTTAACAGCTTCGCTGTTTTTTTTTTTATTTCTCTAGGCTCTTCACAGTAAGAGTTTTAGTCACATTCAAAGTGTTTTGATTAACTTGTTTTTAAAAAGGGTGAAACTTTTATAATATCATGGAATGTAATTTGGAAACGGGATTCGAAAGTTGGAGAAAAAGTGAAAAAGGAATCAGGCGAGGTATCATGAGATGTAAATAAACATGGTATAAATAAAGAATGAATATTATATTATTATTACAGCACTTACATTTTTATGTTATTTTCTAAAATAAATTTAGATAAATAAGTATACATAAAAACAAAAGGACAACAACAAAAGGTGGATGGAAGTCGGCCTTAGGCCATACTGTATTTCGAAAGAAACCCATACAAATAGGAATCTCAATGGTAATTCCCATCACCATCCTAGCCAGTTAGCTACCGTGGGCAAATCTTTGTTTCAGAGAGCACATGGTGTCTGCGACAGTAATCATCTGGCAGGGGAACTTCAGCATATAAAGCAAGTCCTACATGCGAATAAGTTGAAGATTCTACGCCAATGCCGCAGGCCCCGTGTGACACCACCAACAGTCGAGAGAAGACCTGCCATCTTACCTTACGTGAGAGGTGTTACAGACAAGATCGGAAGAGTCCTCAAGCGTGTATCTATCAAGACCTATTTCAAGCCCCTGAGGAAGATTTCTCAGTTCCTGAGACCCGTGAAATGTAACATCCTCTTACAGGATGCAGGAGTTTACAAGCTTGACTGTGAGTGCGGTCTCTCTTATATTGGACAAACAAAGCGAAGTATTTGTACCCGCGTCAAAGAACATATAGCTGATGTCAAACACCGTCGCGTAAACAAGTCTGCAGTCTGCGAGCATGTCATGGATAAACCTACACATTCAATGAAGTTTGACAAACCCCAGGTCCTTGCAAAAGAGACTTCTTTTTATCTTATTTTTATCTACCCAGGATGCTGCGAGAGGCCATTGAAATTAAAAAACATCCTAATTTCAACAGCGAAGATGGTTTTTTCCTTATCACCAGTTTGGGAACCAGTATTTCCTCTAATGAAAAATCCCAAACAGACATAAGACTGCAGTACTAATTAATATGTTTTAGTTTATTCTAATACTAACTGAACTTAATAAAAATTCATTCAATAAAATAGTATATAAAACTGAATGTAGCGTAAATAAGCGTAGAAGCCGACTCGATACTCATAAAGAATATTACAAGAGCCTAAAAAGACAAATGAATATTGCCATGCTTTCTGAAAAGCGCGCATATTTTAATCAACGCATAAACAGCTGCTGTGATGATTCTAAGAGGCTCTGGAAAAATTTAAAGAATGATGTTCTCCCTTACAATAAACGATCAGATACCCTACCGCTTCACATCTCTAACCCTGAAGAGATAAACAAACATTTTCTAACCCTTCCATGCGCAGACACAGTTCCACTTTCTGAATTGGCATTTTTTAATCAAAATAAATATAGTACTAATATTTTTACTTTGCGAACAGTCAGAGAGATGGAGGTGGGTAGAGCCATCCTTTCTATAAAATCGGGAGCGTCAGGGGAAGATAATATAAATTCAGATATTATATTATTAACACTGCCTCAAACTCTACCACTCATAACGAATATTATTAATAAGTCTTTTTCTTCCTCGACATTTCCGCTTTGCTGGAAGACTGCTTTGGTTTCACCAATTCCCAAAGTTTCAAATCCTACCAACTATAAAGACCTTAGACCAATCAGTTTGCTGCCGTATCTGTCGAAGGTGCTGGAAAGGATAGTATTTTGGCAATTAACGAAGTTTCTGGAAATAAATAAGATTCTTCCTGAAGTACAGTCCGGCTTCAGAAAGGGTCTCAGTACTTCGACAGCGCTCTCAGAAGTGGTGGACAATATACTTGATGCTCAGGATAACGGTATGGCCACTATACTTGCTCTACTCGACTTTTCACGAGCGTTTGACTCTATCAGTATCCCGTTACTACTTGCAAAACTTACATATTATGGTTTTGACACAGCCACAGTAAATTGGTTCGCTAGTTATTTGACTGATAGAGCTCAAATTGTCAAAGTTCATGAGTTGAGCGGCCGTATAACTAAATCTTCTGTAAGAGGAGTGCATAGAGGCGTACCACAGGGATCGATATTAGGACCAATCCTATTTGTATTGTACTCTGCGGATATCTTAAAAAATGTAAATTATTGTAGTTGCCATCTTTATGCGGACGATGTCCAAATTTATATTCATACGAGTCCACATGACTTGGAGCTGTCCCTTTCTAGGATCAACACTGATCTTGACAATATTGCCCGATGGTCAAGTCGTAATGCTTTGATTCTGAATCCATCAAAATCTAAGTTTATGGTTCTGGGTTCAAAAAAACAGGTCGTAAACATCCTTTCACAAGCTCCTCGGGTTAGCATTCTTGGAACATCGGTAGAGTTGGTTAACCAGGCCAAAAATTTGGGTGTAACTATGGACAGTGCGTTGCGATTCGTTAGCTATGTAGAGACTACTGCCAGATCATGCCTCTTTCGACTGAAGGTGCTCTATAAGATTCGTCATTTGCTCAGTGAAGACATTAGATTAAAGGTATGTGAATCCCTTGTCTTATCAAAACTAAATTATGCGGATGTTGTATTTGGTCCCTGTCTTCTCTCCACTTCAAAAAAAACTATACAGCGTGTGCAAAACGCCTGCATACGATTTTGTGATAAAGTACCATTCAGAAGTCACATAACACCTGTGCTAAACCTACGCAATATCTTGAACATGGAATCCAGAAGGACTTTGCACTTTTCTGCACTGATGCACTCCATTGTCCGGTATAAAAGTCCACCATATTTGTATGCCAAATTAAAATGGGCTACTTATGCTTATAATTCACGCAGGGTGGATAGTGTTTTGTTGGTGACACCATTCCACAAAACAAGAGCTTTTGAGGGTAGCTTCCGGTATCAGGCATCTAAATGCTGGAACAATTTGCCTCCTCCACTTAGACAACCAATCTCTAAATCGGCATTCAAAAAACAACTGAAAATTATGTTATTGGAAAAGCAGCGTATGCTCTGATGTCGGAAGTTTCTTAGTCTAGCCAGCTTGTTATATTTATGTGCACTAACATACCAATGTAATGCTTAAAGTTGTATATTTCTATTTACATGATTACGCTGTTGTAGGTCCGTGTTTCTTTAGTAGTAAATACTTATTGACAGATTTAAAATATTAATTGTTATATAATACTAAGGTTTTAAAGTTTTCGTATTGAAAATAATTAGGAATGTATATGTCACAACAGAGGATACACACAACATAATAATATGTACCGCTCTCTCAACATCCAGTCGATGATGCAACAGGAACGACTGAAAATCAGCGTCTCTCTCGCCAGAGATAGACTTTTTGCTGAGTCGTCTCCTTTTCCTCTTTTGTGTCACTTTGCATTCTTATATATAGATTATTTAATAAATAGCTATCAATTTAATGTTATGTTTATAATTTAGGGATGTAAAGTGACTTAAATGTGCGAATAAACGTTTTTCTTTCTTTCTTAAATTTGAATGTTTTCTTTGTAAATTTAAAAATAAGGTATTTAATTAATAACTATTGTAACTATAGTGAAAAAATAGGGTGGTTTGTATCAATATTAGACATAACTGGTTGAAGACTGTATACCTCAGTCAACCGTGACCATGGGTCCTGTAAAGGGCCCGAAACGTCCGTTTGTTTGAAAAAACAAATACACGCGATTTAAGTCCGGAAAAATAGTTTCATTTCCTATGTGTAACAATCGCAAAAACCTAAGAACTCGATATTACGGTCTTTTTTAAATTAGCCAATAGAATATACTCAACATGATTTGTATAACCCGAAACATTCCCCAGTGAAAACACAACTCTCAGGAGGAAGCTTTATTTTCTGTACAATATTATATTGGGAATGATAAATTCCAATTCCAACATTGCTACTTTTATTGTGTTTAGAAGCATCACTATAAATGTGATGCCAAGTTTAAAATTTTGTGTCTGTAACGAAGTTAAAAAAATGTGAAGTTTCGACTGTTTACTTGTTAACTCCTAAAGACAAACGAACGTCAGGGTTAATGTTAAAGCATCATAATTAACACAAGATTCACTGATGTGTGAATTGGTGCGTGAATAGATAAATACCTGCCGAAACTGATAACCAAACATGGAAGGGATTTATAAGACCAATAAGAAGAGGAAGATTCCACAGATAAACGCTCGAGTTTAGATAACAAAGGGTGCTTAGTTAGCTGCAAGCATCGGAAAACATATTTATCCGATAGAAACCGTCTTCTTAAATGGAGGGGTGGTTCAACACATTCTACCTGCATAGCATATAAGGTGCTTGTTTTCATTGCGCCGAGAATGAGTCATAAGGCTTTATATTGAATATTGTCTAGCTTTCTCAAAGCAAACATATTACAGGGATCGAGAATAAAAATTGCGTAGTCAAAAAGGCTTCCAATTAAGGAATTGTATGTACACCAGTTTTAAAGATAAAGAATGTGCTCCCCACCACACCCCTGTCAAACATCTTATGATATTTAAATTTTTTTAACTTTTGGCAGTTATAGTATATTCACAATGGAGGTTACCAATAAGACGGGAATCCAAGATTACGCCTAAAAATTTCGTTTGTGATTTTATAGTACTATATTGACGTCTGGCAGTCTAAGCTTTCTAGAAAATACAACCACATTACTTTTAGGGACCGATAGTTCGAGCCCACCATCCGACCAACCACCAATTAACCACAATTTAAACAACTTTCTAAATATTTAAGTGGAATATTTAAAGAGTGAGATGCTGCCTGTATATATTTGTTTGTTGCGTATAAAAAGAGATCGTCAGCATACTGTAGAACTTTAACATTTATGGGAAGCGACGCTTCCAAGTCATATGTGTATATATTGTACAGTAGAG